TCATGAGATTGAACTGATATGGGGGTTGGAACGGAGGGCTGATTGAAGTAAACTGGTTTGGTGCTTGATTTGTGTAGTTAACATGGGTGGGATTTTGGGAGATCGAGAATGGGCTAGACTCGGAATCCATTTCTTGTAGGCTCTATCTGTACATCAAGAAAATAAAAAATAAAACAATTTGTAATTAGCTGCTAAATTACATAGAGCTAGCGAAGTAAAATGACCACAAAAAGGTTAATGGAAAAATCTGCAAACCCCCCAACTACAATACAACACTACCATGTTTAATCGGCTCTTAGGTACATTGTATCCTCAAATGTCACTTATCAAATACCCTATATATTTTCTAACCATGTGCTTTGTTAGTTTTTTTTATGTGTTATACTACTTTTGGACGGTAAAATTGTATAATTTTAAATTATAGATTATTATAGCAAAAAGAACATTATAAACATCCCCCTATCCTTGAGGCCCAGTCTATTTGTATTGTCCCGGGCCCATAAAATGTCAGGACCGGGCCTGTTTAGAACGGCATAAATAGCCAAAGGTACTCGATAACATATATGTAGTATAAAGCAGTATTGTATTTAGCAAAAGTCCAAAGCAGATTAAGAAGCATGAAACCTACTTAAATGTCCTCTGGAAGAAAGGAGAGGCAGTGACGGTCTCATGATAATATAGTAAGAGATTAAGAGGAAAAGACTGGAGAGATTAAAAGAGTACAATTGCTATTTAATAGGGAAGACCTTCTTCAAAATCAGTTGACTGTAAACCAATATATAGACCAAAAATTATAATTTTTCAGAATATGGCCAATGTAGTAGTAAGATTATAAACCGGCTGTTAGCATGTGTAAAGACTTTAAAATGAGTTGTTATTTTTGTGTAAATAATGATGTATATACAAAGTATGTATTAAGCAAACACATTCTATTAAATTTCTAGTAGAGTTGCTTTTTACTTGTATGTAAATTCATAGTTTTATTGCTACATCATACTCTCTAACAAATTGTTAGATCACACACTGTGTAACAAGATGTGTAAAACATCTATATCTGAGACTAATATCACAGATTTTATCCTCTTGGACTTCAACTATTAAAGATTAAAACGAACTAAGTTCATTAGTTGGAAACTTAAAATGGTTCATTTCTAAGAGCAGTATGATACAATGTGTATAACTATATTTTTCTGGTTCCACAAATACTAAAAATTAAAGCAAGAAACGAATAACACATGAAATCAGGAACATATAAGCCATATTTTCACATATAAGCCATTTTTACCTTTAATAAAACCAATAATGTAGCTGAAATCAAATTCTAAGAGATACTTGTCTTTGAATATCGTACTCAAAGGATTAATCATATGGTTTCCCACCCCTAAGAGTTGAAAATACTTCAATGAAAATTTCTATCGAAACTGTTGCTTTTTTATGCACGGTCTTCCTTGATGGGAGAAAATAATTACTACACTGAATTTACTACAAAATAGCTGTGATATGATACCTACAAATGAAACAAATAAACTAATGGCCAGATTAGTTGAACGAGTGAAATTTTTGGATGAATTTAAGGGATGTGATGCTAGTTTGAAAGAGAGCAGAGGAAGGTTTGTCTTGTCAACCCCTTACCCCGGGAATCTTGTAATCCGACAATTACAAACTGAGTGATTCCCTCGTGATTCAATAACCATCTCGTGTCTTGCATTTCCTTAAAAACAAAGTGCTTTCATAGTTTTTAGCAGAAAGGAAAATATAGATGCATAACTTTGGAAGCCCTTAAAATTTTCAAACCCTTAGCTTCAAAGATATGGCCGATCATAGTAAACCTAATCGCAATTGCTAAATACAAAATAGTTTCAAACCCTTCAGAGCTATGGCCGATCTTAGTAAACCGAATCGCAATTGCTAAATACAAAATAGCAGCAACCCAAAAAAAATAAAGACGACCATTACGAATAGAAGAATTTCAGGATGTGCTCATTCGATTCAAGAGTGTTCATCGATAGAGTTGAAAGAGAGAAAGAAATTGACATACCTGATAACCACTATGAGAATATAGTTCGCTGCTTCAACAAAAAACTGTGAAATAGGTCTTTGGCTGAGAGACGGAGGTTATATGGGTTTTCATTTCCCTCCCAATATTTCATCGGGCGCCCTTTTTTTGGCGAGTCAGCAAGTTTCTCTGCCTTTCTACACTCGGAAGTTCACATTCACAGTGTGCAATTTTTTTTTGACAGGTCAGCAAGAGACTTCCAGCGTTGGAAACAAAAAGAAACGCATAGTGTCTAACTTATTGACGTGGCACACAAAACCAAGACTAAACAGAACCGCATTGCGGTTGCTCTTAGATAGTCGCTAAACATAGGAAATCACATTTTGTAAAGTATCGTTGAATATTTATAATTATTTCATATGAATTCTGTTCACTACGGGCCAAAATGACTAAAGTTGTTGATTTTGTTGAATTTCTTTAATTTGTGGTTAAAAAGACTGAACACTTTGAGCTGGGAATTTAAGCGTTACGATCAATTTTTCACTAGCCACACAAATTTTTTATTTCGTGCGATGAATTGTGTAATAATCAAAATAAATAAGGTTGGAATTACATTTCTGTCTGAAGTTGTAGATCATCCTTTTAACTATTTCCATATAATGTTTTCTTTATTTCATTAATAAAATATATTTTAATATCTTTTTCAAAGTTCAGCAAATTCAGTCAGTCCAGTCACTCGAGTCGGAATTTCACCAATTTTAACAAAATCTACTTATTCAGTCAACTTTCGTGTTACGAAACAGACTTTAAACTACAAACAAAACAAAAAAAAATGATCATCTAAAACAATTTCAAACCTTGCTTTTTAACTAACTAACAACTACAAATTCACTATCGAAGTCGAAAGATGTGATTCCCAAAACTGGAGTAAATAAAAGCAAAATTCAAGAATGGAAGTATAAAGTTTAAATTCTCAAAATAGGAGTAACTCTTCTTATCCTATCCTTTCTCTTGTCATGCTTAATAGGATTTCTTTTTATAATAACAAAATATAAAAAATTAAAAAAAAAAAAGATGTTAAAAAATACATGTCTCAACCGCCACCTCCGCCACCTTCTAGCACCACCACCTCTAGTTGCCGGAAAAAAATGTCAACTTACCAAAGAAAATGTCATCATGGTGGGATGTTTGAAAGCAAAGTTGATTTTTTCAAATAGTAAAAATGTCATTTTCATGATAATTTCAGATAAATGTGCATTTTTACACAAGATGACATTTTTGAGTTTTTTATTTAAGTTTTTACATTTTTATTTAAAATTTGAAAATATTTTATTAATTTTTTTGTTTCATTATAAATAAAATAGGAAGATGGAACACATATTACTCTTATTTTGAAAAAAAAAGTGCATAGGCTTATTTTTACATTTGAAAATAATTTATTCCTATTTAGGTTTAATAACAGAAATCAAAACTAAAAAAGGATGACACCCATCTTTGAGCCCCCCAGAACCGGATAGTTATTTGGGAGGATGTAAGTTTCTTTGAAAGAGAGTGACTTTCATCCTAAGTTATTGCTTGAAATTGAATTTGAGATCTCTCACTTGTGACACTCTCCCCCCCCCCAAAAAAAAAAACCTTGTTTACTCGTATTTAGGATTTCTCTCATACCCAAAGCCTAAATGGACTCAAACGGCCGCATATGTAATCTTATCATTTTAAGTGTATTAATTAAAAATGGTTTAACATATTATTCATATATTTGCAACATTAAGAACATCCAAATCTTAGTTCCAAAAGAGTTTGGAGTCTATTAACATGAATTTACATATGGAATCAGAGTTTAAAAGTTAAATAGAGAAAAAGGAGGCAAACATAGACACATCAACCCTGCACATAAGGGAGACAAACAAAGACTCTTTAATTTTCACATGAATACTCTCTCCACTATGCTCTCTTCAAAGCTACACTATCATCTAACTCAAAAAAGTATCATATCATTACTGATCATGACCGCTTTAATCCAAAGTTGTTTGTATTGTCATCTCTCCGGAGTTAATGACGTTGGTGGCTGACGTCCATGACGGCACTTTAATCCACTTTTTTAGTTAGATGATAGTGTAGCTTTGAAGAGAGCAGGGTGGAGAGAGTATATATGTGAAAGATTAAACTGTTCTGGAGGTGGTGCCACCACCGACGTCCATGACGTCGCCCTAAACTGTATTTCATGCCATGGATGCATCGTTCACGTTTTTGCATTGGAGAAGCTCTAAGCCTTTGATGTTGAATTGCTAAAGAAACATTCCATATACTGGCAGCACATGACCTCTCAAACCCAACAGTAATATAGTAGGGCAAAAACATTAAATACAGTAGAGGCAATATGACTGCAACCTTACATTTTGTATGTTCACTTCACATACAATTTTTTTTTTAATGTAAAAACTGTTGCACATCCCATTAGGAATGTTTGGATAGAAGGCTTCAGAGAGCTTAGACCATACTATGATATACGTAGTATGTACCATTTGGATAGATGGTTTACGAAGACTTCTGTTAATTTTTAGAAGCATTATATAAGTGGGCATAAATTGAGCAATCTAAAACCTTCACCTTCCCTTCCAAATACCTACACCCAAACATAACCTAGACCAAATGTGTTTCAACCTGTGTTCAATACTAGTTCAAAATCCCTCCACCCAAACACAACTTCAGAGACCAAGTGTGTTTCATTCTTATTGTCAATACTAGTTCTTTTGTGACGCGTATTGCACAATCCTATCACTGTCAAAATATGCAAACATTTCAGGATTAGCTACCTTGATGCTTCTCATTATGGCTTTCTTGAGTTTAGAAATCCTAGCTTCCTCAAGATGCCAGAAAACCCTCAATCATCACCTCTTTTTACTGAACATTACATCCCGGCCTTTACCCCTTCCTAACATTAAACTAAGGGTATTTATGCTTTCGGTGTGGTAAACTGGTAAAGCTTGCAAAACTATGAAAGTGGAGCAAATCATAAAATACTTCTAAAAAAGGTAAACACGTCATATACAAAGAAAACAGGCTAAGGGAGTGTATTATTGTTTACATGGCAAGTTTTCCAACATCGCAGAGATTTTATAGAAAGTGGAGCAAAACTGCCTTTATAACTTCTTCACATCGCAGAGAATTCCATAGAAATTTTATCTGACAGGTCATAATAGGTAAAACGTTAGAGCTTGTGCATAATGAGGGGAGCACCATGTTGAGGATGAGTGGTCACCATTGAAATAGGAGCATGAGTATATGAAGGAGAAAGCGCGAAGGAGAAGCGTTGTAGAATCATTGCCATAGCCATTTTAGCTTCCATCAAAGCGAAGTTTTGACCAATGCATATTCGAGGCCCCCCACCAAACGGGTAGAAGGCGTTTTTGCCCTTTGTTGCTCCCATTATCCCTTCACTGAACCTGTCTGGTTTGAACTCTTTAACATCCTCTCCCCATATCTCACTATCAAAATGTAGCAGAAGTATCGGTAATGATACTACTGCCCCTTGAGGCAAAACTATGTCTCCAAGTTTTGCCTCCTCTACAACGGTCCTCATTAAGCCAGTTACTGGTGGATATAGCCTTAAGGACTCGTACAAAATCATTGTCACCTGAAATAATGATACACGGATATCAGAATTTTAAAAGCTCAATTACTAAGCTAGAAAGAACACTATTAGCACCTTAAGGTCTCATACTTACAACTTTAAGGTTATTTAATTTTTCAAAATCCATCTGCTCATCATGGCCAAAGACACTCAACACCTCAGCTCTAGCTCGAGTTTGCCAATCTTGAAATCTGCTAAGAAGAATCATAGTCCAAACTAGCAACACTGATGTAGTCTCCTGCCCTGCAAAATAGAACAACTTGCACTCCTGAATGATCTCTTCAATGCTCAACCCGCATTCCTTTTTCCCTTGCTTTCTGATTTCTTCCATGTTGGATTCCAGCATTATGCCTAATAAATCTTCATTGTTAGTCTCTCCTTCCTTTAACGCCTTCAATCTCTTGTCTATAATCTTCCGGATGGATGATTTCTCTTCCTTCTCAATGGCATTCATTCTTCGGTTCCTCTTTGTTGGCAAAAATCTGCAATGGATTAATAAACAACGAATGTTCAATGAAAACAAGCAAACTATCTATATCGCATGCTAAGTTTAACTACCTCCACCCAGGGACATACACTTGGCGCACAACTTCCATGAAGTACTTGGTCTGTTCTCTTTGTAGTTCAAAAATTTTCTTTCCTTCTTCATAGCTGCTCCCAAATGCGGTGCGAGAGATCACATCGCACGTCAAGCCTTGAAGGTCAGGCCACACATCCAGCTCGCAAGAACCTTTTCCGGAGACAGTCCCCTCCCATTTTGTCACCATTTCACCGCAGCTCAGCAAGAAAGCCGGCTGCATAAGCTGTTGATGAACGAAACCTACTAATTACTACAAATACATGATCTTTTTAATTGTGCAGTCAGTTCTAGTCTAAAACTATTACATGGAGATCAACTAGTAAAATAGATACCAATCCCCTTGCCCCCTTCCCTTCCTTGCTAAATCATTTAACAAGCAAGCTCTTAATGCTCTAAAAAGCATTTAAGCGACTTCTAAGTGGTAGACACTAGTCTAGCCCCTAGACGGGCTAAGTCGGGACCTAAGCCGATTAGGCGTGGCTGAATTAGTAAAGGAAATATCACAATTATACCGATTCGGGAGTGCAAAACGCGTGCATTTAACTAAGAAACCAGCTACTAGTTACCTTGAGCTTCTCAGAGTAGAAGGCAGGATTGATTAATCTTCTGTGTTTTGCCCATGTATCTTTCTCAAGGCTGACTAGCCCTTGCACCAGCTTCCTTCCCAAAGGGTTGCTCCGAGGCTTCTGATACAGATGATGCTTATTGAAAACCTCTTTCACTAAATCCGGATCCATGACAAACACCATAGGCCGTGGACCCATCCACACAATGCATTTTTTACCTGCAGAGTTACAAATAATCATTATTACTGATTGGGTTTTTCGTTTATGTATCAAAAAAGTCATCAATTCGGTTAAGAAGGTGAAGAAAGATGAAGAAGCTAGACAAAGCGTTACTATTGATGATTACCATATTTGTTGATGAGATGAAGGAAATAGGGAATGAGCCTAGGGGCTATATAATCATCAGAGGGATTCATGGGGTTAGAATTGGAAAGAGTTAGCATGTTGAGAGCATCTTTCATGTCTCCAGAGAGGAGCCTGTAAGGGTTACCCTTAAAGCCTTGCTGTTTAAGGCACCTTTCCAGCTTCTTGGGCTTGAACCACACCCAATCCATCACTCCCCATAATAAAATGGCTAAGGATGCCAAGAAAACACAGACTGCAAGAAAGCTGAAAGTAGCCTCCATCTTGGATAGACTCATAGACTTGGAGTAATTTTATTGGTTTTCTATAGGTCACTGGTTTGTTCTTGAATTGATCGGTAATGTCATTGATATATATATAAATATACAATTATACTTTGACGTAAACTATGACGATTGTGCATTATTATTATCACGAAGGGAGGCATGTAATGGTCAGAAAATGCACCCGTAGGCGGTAGGACCGTAAGTCTTGCTGATTTTAGATATTTTAAAATGGCATCTTTCAAGGAAGAAAATGCAAGTACTCCCTAATCCCTATCTCCTAGGAGAAAATGAGTAAATGACAAAAAATACGGGAGTTTTATAACTCCGGTGCAAAGGTACGGGAATCGAATTTACAGTACAAAAAATACAGGATTTCGAAGTTTTCTTCCCAAACAAAGTAGGACTAGAAAAAAATTAAATACTCCGTAACAATAATTCGGAAGCCTCATTCCCTATTGAGAGGGTTAGGGAGGTGAGGTGGGGATTAGGTATAAAATAAAACTCTATTTTTATTTGAGTATTCTAATTTTTTTTATTTGTACTCTAATTCTCACAAACAGAATCAAAATTCATAACTTTTTGCAATTTTCAATATGACACTAATATTATATACTTCCTCCGTTCTTTTTTAGATGCAACGGTCAACATTTCACACTTGCAAACGCACGTTTTTGACCGTATTACAATGGCGGAACCAGAGAATCATTTGAGCGGGTGCTCTTATATATAATTTTTTTGCGAAACATTTTTTTATTAGAATAAAGGAAAAATGAGTAAAAAGTAATCGTTGTTTTTACAATAAAAAGAATTTTCGCGTGAATAGTGCGAACGAGTGCACTTTTTACTCATTCTGGTGCATTGATAGATATTTGTTTTGCACTTTTCTGGTATGACGGAAGCTTTGATTGGTTTAGTAAATTGTGACCGCGTTTCTCATAAAATGTAGTGCATTATTGTTTGATTTTGAGCCATTAGATCCCAACTTTAATCCCCAAGATTTTTTCTTATTTTTCATGAGAATAACTCTTTCTTTTAAGGAAGAGAATAACTCTTTTTATTTGATCCAAAACTTGTATATGTGCGTATATAGCGTGTCTCAAATAAATAATGCTATTATGTTAAGGAAAACGTAAATAGGAATGTTAATTCAAAGTATGCTGAGAATTATTCTTGATAATTTACACATTAAATAATGTATGTCATTATTTCAAGAAGAAAGAAATGACTAAAAACTCATTGATTTGTTTTCTTATTTTCGAATAATTAACAGTTATGCTATAAATTTAATTTTGGGCCATTGAAACTTGCATATGAATACGGGAAGAAGAAGTGCCAAATAATTTGTAATGAAAAAATAAGAATATAAAATCTTTATATAATATAAAGTAGAAGAGTTGGCATAACTATTGGAGGGAAAATTCCCGCCCAAGAGATGAGTAAAAATGTAATACATGTGCTTGAAATATGTACACTCGGCCAATCTAATTGTGCTTGAAAAATCTATTTATTAATAGAGCATTTATTGCCCTTATGTGTGCTTAAATTATAGTTGTAATGAATTAAATAAACTTGCGAAGAGTTAAAACGTGTGTAAAAATAAGCAAGCATTGAATGCTTTCCTTATGTTTTCAATTAGACGCCATATAATTTTGATCTAATTTTGAGTGCAATATTACATGTCAAAGTGTAATTTAACTATAAAAGACAATACATCTAATTTAATAATGATTTTTTTCTCATTTATTAATAATAGTTGTAGTAATAATAATAATAATAACATTAATAATAATAATAAGTATTAATTTGGCACAAAATATTTTCTCACGATCATTTATTATATTTTTAGTTATTTTTATGTGACAATATCTTTATATTTATACTTCTTCCGTCCCGCAAAGAAGTTCCCGGTTTGACCTACACACATATTAAAGAAATAAACTTACTAGAGGGTAAATTTTACTGTTTTGACACTATTTCAACACTGTTTGACACTGTTTTGATGTAGATAACGTGCCATATAAAGAAAGTGGAACTTCTTTTTGGGACTGCTAAAAAGGGAAAGCGAGAACTTTGCGGGACAAAGGGAGTATAATATAGGAAAAAGAGTCAAATAAGTTCTTCTACTATTTGTAATCCGTCTCTTAAGCTTTTGTACTTAAAAAAGTATCATATAAGTACGTCTACTTTTAAAATACAATCAACCAAGCCCTTTGACCCGCTATAGCAGGTTATTTCTTTTTAAATTAAATTAGGAATATTGATAAATCTTTCAAAAATTCATATAAATTTGAATAAATAATCTAATAATAATATAAAAATAGTATAAATATAAAAATAGATAAAAATTTAAAAACATTAAAGTAAAAAAAAAATTATAAAACTGAAAAAATAAAGTGAAAATAAAAAAAGAAAAAATAAAACTTTAAAAACCTTTTAAATAGATGCCGAATATAAATATATTTTAAAAATGAAAAAATATTGACTTTGATATTCTGAAAATTTTCACAATTTCTGTATACATTTCTTCAAATTTTAACAATTTTTAGAATTTTTAAATATTAAAAACCTGCTATTACAGGTCAAAAGCTTATTAAATGGTCAAATTGATCCATTTTTTAAAGTAAGCGTACTTATATAATTTTTTTTAGTATAAGGGCTTAAGTGACGGTTTGGAAATAGTATAAGGGGTTATTTGAACCTTTTTTCTATAATATAAAATAGAAAAATTGCTACAATTTGTGGCTCCAATTTTCCTGCCCAATGCATGTAAAGGTAAAAGGAAAGCAAATAAAGGAAACATATGATTTAGTCATATGTGTAGTAGTAATATGTATTACCACGTTAATAAATGAAAAAAAAAACTGGGAATAATGATATGTTAGTATGTCCAATAAGTAAGCAAACATTCATTCAAATATATGATGATAATTTAGTTAATAATAATAAACATAAACATTCAATTTGTTTGAAACAAATTTAACAGTCAATTTGTTTAAGTGACAAAAAAATAAAAGTAGCAAAAACAAAGTTTTAACATTCATTATTATGAAATGGTGAAATATTGGAAGTCACAAAAATAAAGCGGATTTGGGAAAAATTATACTCCATATTACATAATATTGGAGAGTGAAAATGCATAAGAAAAAGTGTGGACCCATGTACATTTGCTTTGAAAAGGGAACTCGAAAGCAATTCATAGTTTATACATAGGTGAATCCGAGATTACAAAAAATTAAGTCCAAATTTTGTCCGAAAATACATTCATTGAAGCAATTTTAAGTAGCTAAAACTTAAATAATTTGCCCATATAAGTACCAACACAAGATATCAATTATCACATTAAGAGTCCGTTTGATAACACTTTAAGAGCCTGTTTGGTAACACTGAAATTGGCTAAATCTACTGATTGTGCCAATATTTCTGAAGTTTAGGCCGAAGTGGTTGGATTGCCCGATTCTTCATAATTATGAAAAAATTATATTTAAAATATATTTTATTAATAAAATAAAGAAAATAATACGAGTATATGAAAAAATAACTAAAATGGTCTTCGACAGTAACTTCAGCTAATTCAACCAGAAAAGTAACTTTAACCATACTTATATTGATTATTACACAATTCAACTCACAAAATTAAAACTTATTTATTTGGTGAAAACGTTGGCTGCTAAGCTTAAAAGGGGGTCACCAAACATGTTCTTAACCAAGTATGCATATGTTATTGAGAAGGATGACTTGAAGAAGTTAGAGAGTGATGGACAAAGAAAAAATCATGGAAATCTTTTTAGAAGATCTCAAGCGCGTTTCAATTAATAATATAAAATTAATCAAGATTGAATATCGATCTAATATTGATTACCATTAGTGGTCCTGTCAGATAATAACATTTCTTTCAAATTTCAACGCAAGTAATTCCCAATCACTGTTTCTTTTTTCCTATTGATAAAAAAAGTTAAGGACAATCTCTGCAGCAAGTGATCATATATCATCCAAAATATGTTTTACACATGGTCAAGTGTGTGTTGCCACGTCAAGTGTGTGTTGCCACATCAAGTGTCACCTCCAGAACTGAATTGAAGATTCTTATATGTGATTACAAAAAGTCGTGTTATCGACACTATTAATAATGTGGTCTATACAAGAGTTTTTAGAAATTTATGATACTTTTGTACATTGTCAACATATCATGTTAATTCCTTATCTTATAGAACTTATTGTTATACCCTACCATTTTTTAATTTTACTTGGTAATCGTTCATACTGTCCAAAATTTTCTTTTCTCGCAAATTACTACTCCGTATTATATAATCAAATTTACAATATATAAACTCTATTGTCTTTTTATTTGAATAATTTCACACCACGTACAATCATACTAAAACTTAATAATAAAGAAGTACTGTAGTTGTTATTCTATTCTAGATATATCCCGTGCATCGCACGGGTATTTGTCTAGTAAAAGATATAGAAATCTAAAGTGTGATTTAACCAATGTCCTGTTCTAGAGTGAATCAATTTAAGAAAATTAATAGAGAGTTATATGTCTAAAATGCAACATAGGAATCAAAATTAAAAGAGTGTTTGCGGTTGCTTAAAAAAGTGCTTTTCAGTTTTTGGCTTTAAAAAAGTTAAAAAGAGTGTTTTCAAATGATAGTTTCTGCTTAAATTAATCACTTAAAAGCTAAAAGTTGGAAGCAGGTGGAAGGGTGCTTTAAACTGTTTTTCACTTTTCTATTACACAAAAGTACTTATTTCACCAAACACTATCAACTTTTACTTTTTCAGAATCACTTTTTTGTCAAACACTACCAACTTTTACTATTACATTTTCCCAAAATCACTTTTTTAAAGTTAAAGCAATTGCAAACACTCCCTAAATGTGGAGTAAAGGAGAAGCAGGGAGTTCAAGTAATGCGAAGTATGAAAACAAAACAAGAAGCCCATGGGACTTGAACCCACGACATCATGCACGTGGAATTCTTTGTAGCAGCGACGCTTCTAACTGGACAGTCAGAATCATTGTTCATAATTTGCTGCCGGGGATATAATATATACAACTTTTAA